TGACGACAGGTCAGGTCCATATGAACAGGATCCTTCTTCCATCCTTTTCTCGGACTGGGATCTGTTCATATACGTTCTTGGCAGATGATCCAGAGGTGGTTTGCCATTGCCTTCTTCTGTGTGTGAATGGAGTAATTGTTGGGATGCCACGGAGAAACCGGGGAAGCCCCCGGAGGAAAACTCCGTGTTGCCTAGACCACGGCCTTGCCCAACACAATGGCATTCATTCTTAAAAATTAAAGTAACGCCCACGCATCGTTGAAGTTCGCAGGCACAGACAACACAACCACAGCTCACCGTAGACCAACAACGGCAATCAAACCAGTGGACATAAAAGCGACCATTCCTGTGCAATCAACGTCCAATGAGGTGTTACATAAGTAAAGTACATACCTTTTATGCTCTGTAAAAAACAATAACCTTTTTCTGATTTGTACTACATGATTTAATTTGTTTTGCTACCGATGATGACCTCTTGAGGTCGAAACGCGTTTCGCATTATTGTCCTTCATAGTGTATACAGTTTTGTTTGTATACATACTTTACAATTTCACTTGGTGTTACCTTAATTTATTTCTTTGTTAATTAACAATAATCTGTCAACTACAGAGATTATACAGCACCAAATGTCACAACGAATATGTGACTCTGGTTTATTTGGAGTTACCAACCCCATGTTTCGTAGGAGAGATGAAGAAAAACCATAATAATAGTCAGGATGGTTAGACTCATTCTGGCAAACTGCAAAGAAGCACATACCATTCACCAGCTAAGAAACAACAAAGAAGTTTCACTCTTTTCCACACCACTGTTACACATGCCACAACTGAGAAACCATGGGTATAACAAAACAAAAATCTGTGCTGTGTAACTACAGCAAAAGCTGGTGTTAAACTAAAATGGTAGCTGGATGCTGAAAGCCATCCGTTCCCCACCACAACTGCCCTGCCAACTCCCAATCTGTGAGCAGTAACTGCACGTACCAATCCACAAAGAATTCAATTTTTCCTTCATTAGGCCTTTCTGGGTATGGCACATCAACTTCAGTTTTCACTCCAACCAAGATGTCTGTGTTGGCGAGCCTGAGACGAGCCGAACCACTTGCATGAGACACGACATCTGTCTCCACTTCTATTGTGCGGTAGTCAAGGCGCGTTCTCCCATCACAGCGGAAATCTTCCTGCGAGACAAGAAATAAACATTACAGAGGGTAGCCATACATAACAGCACAAGTTACAGATTAAATTTGAGAAAGTCGTGTACGAGACAATAAGTGGCTTTTTAAACTCAATGTCAATGCAAGTGAACAATTTGGATTTAGGAAGTCTCTCAATTGATCAGGCCCTTTTCAATTTTACAGATGAAATCTTAAGTACTCTTAATAATAAAACGCATGTTCATGGAATATCGTGTGATCTTTCTAAAGCATTTGATTTTTCAAATGAATTTTTCTGTCAAAACTACATTTTTATGGAATCTTAAATATAACTGGTCAGCGATTTAAATCGTACCTTCGCGACAGAAAGCAACAAGTAGAAATAAAAACACTTGCTCCCATTTTTATCATTTCTAGAGGACAAAATAGAAAAATTTCAAACAAACTCAGATATACACAATACAGATATAGCCTTCACGTGCCAAACTCTAACCTCATTAAATATCACAAAGGAGTTTGCTATACTACAATTAAGCTATTCAATAATCTCTCCCCCCCCCTCCCCAAACTATAAAATGTCTGAATCATGAAAGATTATTTTTGTAATAATTTTGCAGTTGACTGCAAAATACTGTCATAACTACGTAATTTATTTGTATTAAAAATAAGTATTGTATTCGTGCCATGACATGTTACACATCTTTGACTTGAGCATGTGAACGCTCTGTAGATAAATTCTATCCGATTCTTCGCATGACATATAACACTCATTCTTTACCTCAACGCCGTGAAGAATAAATGTTTTTTCAGCTTCACTCAAAAGAATTTCAGCCATTCGTTCTGCAGAACTTTACTAGGTCATTAGCAGATGCGGTTACACATATTAAACAGCGCAATAATATACAATCCACTGCTTCCGAAACTAAAATTGAATATCACACTTCCCACATGCACGAATAATCAACAGGATACGGAACTCGATAACCACCAAGTGAGATAAACACGGTGATGCAACTATGGGTTCCAAAATAAGAGAGTAGGCTATTCTTTGACAAGCCGAGTTTACAATCGACTTTTAAAAGAATTTTCTGCACCATAGAGTGGGTCAGTATAAGATCATTTCTCTTCAACTGCGCTATGGCTTCCAAATAAAGAGAGTAGGCTATTCTTTGACAAGCCGAGTTTACAATCGACTTTTAAAAGAATTTTCTGCACCATAGAGTGGGTCAGTATAAGATAATTTCTCTTCAACTGCTTCAATGAAATAGACCACTGGCCTGTTTCCAACTTCAAGATTATAAGTAACACGTAAAATTCATGGGAGGTTAACCATGGAGTCCACAAAACATACCTCACATCCGTATTTGGCCCGTGTAATCTGGTATTAGGTTGTGACGTCTTGTTGAAACGTGCGGAGCAGCGAGTTTAATCTGTGATGGTTACCAATATAAAATAAACCCAAAAAATTTCCTTCAGCATTAATTTTAATTATTATTCAGTGTTCTGTCTGACGACAGGTCCATTGCTCTGCCCAAAAAGAGCTCTCCAGTTTTCCCTATTTTAATTTGGAAGGAAAAATTAACTATTCGCTTTTCATCGAGGACTCTGCCCCATGTAGTTATTTAGGGAAAATACAAAACATTGCAGCTTTGAAATGTTTGTTTTGTGACAGAATTAGATATGAAAAGAAGGTTAAAATATACAAAAGTGTAATTTTGCCGGTTGTGCTCTATGGGTGCGAAACTTGGTGTCTCACATTAAGGAATGAACATATTTTGAGCGCAGTTGAGAAGAGTGTTGAAGATATTTGGACCAAAAATGGAGGGCGGCGGATCAAGGAGAAAATTGCATAATTATGAGTTTCACTGCCTGTACTCATGATATTGTTAGGGTCATTAAATCAAGGATGAAGTGGGAGGGACATGCGGTATGCATGGAGGGGAGAGGTGTTTTCAAGGTATTGGGTAGAAGGCCTGAAAGGAGGAGACTGCTGGGAAGACCTAGGCATAGATGGGAGGATAATGTTAAGATGGGCCTTAGGAAGATAGGAATGGATGGAGCAAACTGGATGCAGTTAGCTCAGGGTAGAGTCTGGTGGCAGGCTTTTATGAACAAGGTGAACCTTGGGGTTCCATAAAGAAAATGGGCAATTCTTTGACAAGCTGAGTATACAATAAATTGACTTTTCAAATAATTTTTTGCAGCATAGTGAGTGATCACCTGCTGGGATGCACAGCAGCGCGATCTTATTCGGACGATGTACTGTCAGCAGCTTCTTTGCTAGGAACTCAATGTTACATTTGTCACCAAACTGTTAGAAAGCAAGACTTGATTTATACAAGATGGAATTTTTAACTACCATAACCGTCAATTGTGGGCTGAGAACAATCCTCATACACATTATGTAGCAAATCACCAACATCTTTTTTCCATTAATGTGTAGGCTGGAATAACTGGGCATTATTTACTAGAACCTTTCAGAAGACAAGAAAACCTTACAGGTATATTCTATTTGCATTGATTGCCTTGCTAATGGAGAATACTGAACTATGAATACACAACGGAGCTCCTTCACACTTATCTGCTATGTCTGGGCCTTCTTGAACACCAATTTTCTTAAATGGTGGATTGGATATGGTGGACCACAAATATGGCCACCTTGTTCACCTGACATAAATCTAAAGATATGTTATCCCATGGCCAAGATGTGCAGACCAAGGAACAGCTCTGTAAAGGATGCAGTACTTACTTACAGGTATCTGAAAGGAAGTGCTCAAACGAGTCTTTCTGTCACTGATATGATGTGTAGAATTACGCATCTGAGCTAACTGTGATCACTTTTGAGCAATTGCTGTAACTATTAATTATCATTACATTCATAAAGTTATTACTTAACACGTATAAAGCGAAGCTTCCGCAGCGACCGAAGTTGATGAAAGACTCTCGGGTAACAAGTCGCGTCAGGTGGTTGAATGGTGAATGAACCATTTTTTCCGCCGTTTCGAGAGCTGCCCTGAGGATGAGAGCAAAGATGGCTCTCAAAACGTTGGCAGAAGAAATGGTTCATCCACCATTCAGCCACCTGATGCGGCTTGTTACCCAAGAGTCTTTCATCTATTATTGAACACATTTGCTCCTAACTCATTCAGAAATCATTTGCAGACCTACATTCAATGGACTCCCATGACGCAGGATGTGCACCTGACCCAACCTTTCTGAAACACCGTAACTTATGTATATGACTTGTGAATTTCTAATATTCTATTACCCATAAATATTTAAATGTTTCCCAAAATCTTAAAAATACAAGATAATTGTGTCATACAAAATAAAGATTTTATTGTCCAATGTGTGTATGACAATGGACATTATTGTAAGCTTTTCTCCGAGAACAAGACAAACTGCAACTTCCTTACCACAATAATGTCACAGCACAGGCGAGTGAGGAAACTCAAAAATCTTTATTGCCTACAAAATATTAACAATAACTTTAAACTATAAGCCATATATACACATTTATATCGGTGCCTCCTTGAAGCCTCGAGCCGCGTAGTCCTCCGGTTTTGTTCTTTCCGACAGTTTTGGGTAATCAGGATCACCTGGTAAAACTGGTTGCCGAGAAGAGATCACGCGCCAGCCTCCTTTCCTTGTCCAGTCCTGGCGACAACCACCACATGTTCAGTTCTGACAGAAAGACTAAGCCAAAGGACTTTTTTGATCTGGAAATCTAATATTCTTTCCGTTATACAAAGACTCATGTGAGCAATTTTCGGCCTAAATACATCCTCAGTGATACCTATTTTCTGATTCTCATACCTGGACGCATTTCAACAAATCCAATTTTTATGACCGATAAGGTTGGATTAGTTTCATTTAATCTAATATATTATGTTTGAAATCATTCTTGTGAAAAACTTTGGTGACGTATTACACCACACGTACACATATTAACCCTTCAAGTGCGAATTTAAACCGCTAATGATTGCACACTGCAGAGGTATTTAAAAGATTATGTAGGAGTAATTTTACATAAAATATTTTATGTATTTGGTAAACTACTCAACAGAACTATATTACACCTTCAGGCAATGTTAGGAAGTAAGATTACTTTTATAAAACTGTGTCCCGTTTTGAGTTAGAAATTAGTTCTGCTGTGGCACTAGGCATTTGACACATTCCCACAAAACAAACGGACAGCCAATCTGGACTGGACATCCATCAGTGTCAACATATTTCTAGTAGGGAACATGGGATTTATTCTTGTGCATCTATGAATTTTAAAGCACACGAATTTGTTTCAATAACTATTCCATCCGATGTCAAACAATATCACCCTGATGATAGAGACAGCAAGTACCTATGAAACACTGGTAGGTAGGGATCGAGCAGAACAGACCAACGGCATTCATCCCGCAAATTTCAATGTAGAATGGAACGATTCTATGAAAATTTAATTATGTACGTTCTGATACTTACATTTGCATTGTACTTAAAGTAGTAGGTAGTAGCACAGATCCCGAAGCCAATCATGAGGAACTTTCCTGTGAACCAGCGAAAAATGTTTGCCCTTCGTTCTCCCTAAAAAGAGAAAACATCTCTTCATATGCCAAAAATCTAATTCTACAGACAAGGAATCATTGCTTCTAATAAGTTTATGTAAACAATGTGCAAATAAACACATAATGTAAAGACAATACTGTGTCCATCCATGTGTTTCATCTCTGAAATTAATCAACAGACTATAATTATATGTGATAAAAATAAACAAGAAAACTTAATTTTGGTTTACAAAAAATTCAGAAGAAATTTTGCTCATCACCCTGATGATAGTGGCAGCAAGTACTTCTGAAACAAATGTAAACTTATGCCAGACTACATGGTGCAACAACCCAGAAGACTTATTTTCATCCTTGCTCATGCATGAACCTTAAATCCTACAAACTGTACTGACAAGACTGACATACATATAGATAAACCTCACAGAACCTTACAAGCAAATGAATTACAAAACAAACATCAATAAATAACATAAAACATGAAATTGAAGGAAAAGTGTTGTTTTTTATGTGATGCAGTGTAACTAGCTACACAATAGAATTAAATGAACACCAAGGTTAAAAGATATGGAAATTAGGAAAGAGTTTATTTAAAGACAAATTAAATTTCAGCTGCAGTACACCTTACCTCTATAATTATGCACATGAATGAAATAATACACAAGAGAGCTATAAAGAATATACACCAACCAAAAAATAACATGGAACAGAGTCCTTTTTGAGAATCCAACCGTCTCCTACCTAGTCACGAAATTCCCTGCATTTATGACACCCAAAGATGCATCATTTAATTCAATGAGCTCACCACTAGTCCATACCCTCCTTTGGATGCTTTGTCCATCTACACTTAGGTCCTCGGGGTGGTTACTTTCCTTCAGCATTCAAACCAAAATGTTTAATGCATTTCAATTCCCCTAATGCATTATGCATTCCCTGCCCATCCTGCTTATATAATACTTGGTGAAAAGTACAGATTATGGGCTCCTGATTACGTATTCATTGCTCATGTAAATTTCACGTACCAATACAGGTATCAACTGCTTAAAAGCCAGATCCAACGGCATTTTGTATGCCCTACGAATAGGGTTGTAACGTTCCTTATAGTATTCCGGGACATGTCTGGGTTCGTTTGGAGATAATTCTTGGTCCTTCAGCCATTTACGTCTCCAGGCTCGTTCACTGTCGGTCATACCAAGTAACCTTTCCCTTTCCCGGGCCATACGGCCCTGAATAGGGAAAGCCTTCACACCTCCCGTATCAGATGCCATTTTCACTATATTAAATGAACTGATGATGATATATGAACTTGGGAAACAAAACTACATAAAAGCGAAGGGCCAAAGATAACAGGACCACAGATTGAAAAAGAGGCAACGTTCAGAAATGTGGCAACTCTATAAGAAAAATAAAGTGATTGGCGACAACTTACACTTGAAAATCGATACTACAGACATTTCTTCCTGTGCTAGCATCGTTATGATTCGATGAGGGAAACGTCTCTTCGATGTTCCCACAAATTCACCTTTCAATTTCTTACTAACAATTTTTCTATCTTTTTAACGAGTTCTACCAGAGCTAGGTTGTTCCAGGTTCTTTCTAATGCTCTTATTGCCTTTGTTCCAGTCATTCACTTTCATGGTGAAGCCACAATAGCCGTTTCTCTTCTTTAGTTTCCAGCTTATTATCTTAAGATTTAATTTATAACTTGATCCCTTCTTATTGCCTTCCCCTCTCCACAATATTTCTGTGACATTTAGTCTGTGTTCCGCGGTCTATGCCACAAGCTTTTCTGGACGAGTTTTCCCGTCGGTTTGTTGGTGATCTATACGACAATACATGCAAAAAGGGCTTTCCTGTACAGCAGACGACATTTAAAGGTTGGAATACTGAAAAAACCAAAAGAGTATACTGTTGATATTATATATGTAGGATAGGTATTAAATGAAGCTGTAACTATATCACACAGTGTTTGACTTTTATTAGTGTTGTTTCAACATTGTAACAACTTTTAACGTTTCAAATATATCGTTTTGGTTAAAAGCTGTAGGAGTAAACAAAAAAATGACAGTAAAACAGCAATATAAATGTTAATTTTTACAGCAGGATACCACCGAGTTTCTGCACTTCATCATTCATTTGAGCGCATTCACATCTTACAACTTATTAGACATGGCATCAGGAGTACTGAAACAGGTATTACACAGATACTGCAAAAAGCCATTTGAAATATGTGCTAGGTAATAGTTTTAGTAAAGTGATGCATTGCTGTAGATTTAATTGCAGTAGCGAGAAGAATTAGAAGGTTAGGAAGGCAGGGGTCCTGATAGGAGTTGCTATTTCAGACAACAGGGCTGACAGGCCTAGCTGTGGTAGCTAATCCCCACCACTTGCTGAGTGTACTCTATGGCAAGATACTGCGGACTATACAGAAGATGCCTTCTAGTGCAGCTTACAGAAATTACACTGAGGAGATTATCAAGGTGCGGGCAGAGATTGTGAAAAATGTAAGTTTCTTTTTGAGAAGTTTAAATTTTAGGAGACAACAATGACATTCTGTAGGTCACTGTGAAATACTGAATATCATGATATTATTGTTAGTATTCCTACTGTGTATTTGGGAGTTGCGTGCTTCACACTTTGGTCCAGAGGACACCAATCCTGATACAGATATAACCTTCATATGCTAAACACTAAACTCAGTAAATATCAAAAAGGAGTTTACTATAATTAAGCTATAAAATGTCTGAATCACTATATAAAGAAGTTTAAGCTAACACTAAAAGAGTATCTCCTATATCACTAATTTACCTCAACCAACAAATCTCAGCTATTATAAATAATAAATAGTGTGTATCCTTTCTTATGTAATTATTTTTGGGATAATACTGTAGTTTACTGTAAATTACTGTCATAACCATGTAATTTATATAAGTATTAGAAACAAGTATTGTGTTTGTGCTATAATATGTTCTACATCCTTGACTTGCGCCTATGAAAGCTCTATGGGCTGTTCTGTTCTATTGAGGCTTTTGCTATGTGTTCTACGAGTACATCCTTGACTTGGGCCTATGAAAGCTCTATGGGCTGTAAATAAATTCTGTTCTGTTCTATTGAGGCTTTTGCTATTTCTTCACACCCTCCAACAAAATGGTGGGACAGCACCACAAAATGGCTGACACCAGCTTCCTGTTCATCATTAATAAAAAAAGCTGTCCTGTTATACATCGTGTATGTGTTGGTATGGGGGGAGGAGGAGGTATAGCTCCTACTCATTCTTAACCTCAGCACTAGATACAGATGAGTGATCAGCATCATCCCCGTTACCCATTGCGTAGGAGGCTGTGCTGGCACCAGAGCTGGTCTGGATGAAGAGTCTAGAAGAAAAATCCTTTACCCCTGCCAGGGATCAAACCCTGGTCATCCAGTCCATAACCAGACACTATGGTCACTGAGCTACCCTGGCTCTTCATCTGCGTAAAAATGAGAACAGCCACATAATTGTGATATATGATACTGGGGCTGTATTAAATGTAGTTGATTTTTTTTTAAAAAACTGGACAGTAACAAGCAATTTACATGTGAGTTTGCATGCCAAAGTTACTGGATGTGCAATGTCCAGGGGCTTCCTTAGTTGCGGGTCAAAGGACAAATTCTGATGTATGTCCCAGAATTTTTGTGATCTGCATATATTTTCAAATGTATTTTATCTTCCCACTTGCATTTTTCAGACTAGTGATGTCAAGGAGCTCGAACGCAAGATTGGATGTGGCCAAGCGGAGGAGTTGATTCAGCAGGCAGAAAATGAACTCGTGCTTGCCCGCAAGATGCTCACCTGGAAGCCATGGGAGCCTCTTATAACAAAGCCTCTACCTAACCAATGGGCATGGCCATGTACCAAATGAACCCTCTTCTAGCATATGTTTTGTATAGTTGATATTCAGATTATGCAGTAATAAAGCTTGTGACTGTTTTGCTTTCTCTGCTCACTATTTACACATTCCTACATGCATCAAACGAGAGAGAGAGAGACTGAAGAACACATTATATCAAAATGAGAAACTCCATATTGAATATCACATGCCATACGTGCACAAAACTAACTCCCTGGTAGCAGAACCCTCAGGTCCAACGCCAACACCAATGCCTGCCACCAGACACAATCCTGAGCCAAACTCCATTTTCCATCCTCACAGCCTACCTCCCTAAGTTCCATCCTTATATTATCCTCCCACCACCTTCTTGTTCTGCCCAGTTGTCATTTTCCAGGATTTGCCACCAAAATTCTGTATGCACCCCTTGCCTCCCCTCCGTGAGTGCTACATGTCCAATCCACTGGAGCCTCCTACATTTCACCATCCTACTATACTAGGTCACCCGTACAATTCACGCTCATTATGCAATACTCTAAATTCCCCACTTATTTCATCCTTCCGAAGTCCAAATATCATCCTGAGCGCCTTGTTTTCAAACATTTGTAATCTGTGTTCTTCCTTCAAGGTATGAGACCATGTTTCACAACCACACAAAACAAGGGGCAAAATTATTGTTCTATATATCCTGATCTTCAGTATTTTGGATATTAAACAAGATGATAACAGTTTTTGAATTGAATAAAAACAAGAGTTTCTCAAATGTATTCTACTCTTAATTTCATCATGGACCTCATTTCTATTTGTTATTGTTGTTCCCAGGCAATAAACAGCTTTAATTATTGTGGGGCAGTGGGAGAGCTTCTTATATTGATCATAAACACCTGATAAATACAGATCAGAAGGAATAGTGCTTCTAAATGACATCTTGTGCACAGTATGGACAGGATTAAAATAAAAACTGTTTCCAAATATTTTACAAAATAAAATATTTCAAGATCTCAGTCACAGAAGTATATTTGGCAACTAGAGTTTACCAGATTAAATGTGGTATATTATCTCGTTCTGTTCTTCGTTTCTCTGCACATTTTTCATCCACATTTAATTCTTAATCCACGTGTGTGCAGTGTGGTAAATGTGAATTGCTGATGTGATGTACCCAATGCCGTCACAGTGGCCGCATGGTCTGGGCCGTGGGCTTTGTGCCACTTGGTCACTGGAACAGTGGGTTCGAATCCCACTTAAGGCATGGTTGTTTGTCCGTGTCTTTCTGTGTTGTGCTGTCCTGTGTACAGGCAGAGGCCTTGCAACGGGCCGATCACTCTTCCAAGGAGTCCTACCGACTGTCTATAGATCACGAAAAGTTGAGACCCACAGATGCTCAGGCACTGAAGAACGGGTCGTATAAAATAAAATTAAAAAATGTACCCAATATCAACATCACCAGATGAATAAAACATTCTCCTTATCTCATCAAGTGACGAAGATTTAACCAAGGTGGTTTTTATAGTGGTTTTTTCAGCAAGAAATTATTTGTATGAAACTTGTTACATGCAACTGTTTTCCTCTGCGACCTGTTTTAGGAATAGGAGTTTTAAAAATTCACGTAAATCAATAAACATTCCCGAATTCAAATACTGTATTACATTTCATTGAACACTGTGTTATGAATTTTAACTAGGTACAAGTACAGATTAGAGGACATACATACAGATACTGGACCTATGTAGCACGAAGGGCCATGTTTCCATAAGCCCTCAGTACTGACTCAATAAACCACCAGCCCTTTCAAGGAAAATTCTTAGATGTTACTTTTGTCAGGTCATCACATCTGCCTCCTTCCAATTCCTTACTTACTAATAATACAGTCATATCTCAATTTTCCATTTAACACTGTAGTGAACACTGCATCACTAAATAATCCCATGACTTTTGGCACTAGAGAAGTCCACAGCACACACACAGGTTGGGAACAGACTCACACTGGAATGTATTCTCTTTGTACATTGTATCAGCAGGCGACTTTCTGCATACATATAAATTGAAAAACAAATAAATTACACTAATGTTAATACGGTATTAATACAGAACTGAGGGGATTCACTCTTATCAGTAGCATATGCAACTCACAATAATCACATAAAGAATGCATATTTTTTGTTTCTTAACTCACTGCCATCTGTCTTTATACAATAGTATTAAAAATATATTAAAATTGGCCGTCAATCACAATATAAGATAATTAAAAGATTAAAATATCATTTTTCGTTCCGTATCGAGTACTCGATTTACATATGGAACATTTACGACATGTTTCGGCTATCATAGAGCCGTCATCAGGTGTTATGTTATAAACTTTTTAACTGAATTACTGATTTTTTGAAGGACGAGAAAATGATAAGAAAAATGAAAACTAAAAATCAGTAATTCAGTTAAAAAGTTTATAACATAACACCTGATGACGGCTCTATGATAGCCGAAACATGTCGTAAATGTTCCATATGTAAATCGAGTACTCGATACGGAACGAAAAATGATATTTTAATCTTTTAATTATCTTATATTGTGATTGACAGCCAATTTTAATATATTTTTAATACTATTTAAATAAATCACAATATGACGCACCTACAATATCTTGTCTTTATACAGTACACAGCATGGCCTATCAACTGTAGGCACGATGGCACAGCATCTTGCTAAAAATCCCTATTTCTTCCAACAGAAGGAAAATACTGTCCTTTGACAGTAATGTACATGCTGCCTACAATAAGCAGCTATCCGGCCGTTTGATGGAGAGACAAGATCGAGTCCCTTGGACTCCTGGATCACCAGATGACACGACTGCTTTTGCTGGTTACACAAAACGTGTTATGGCCAGGAGGGCTGTGCACACACACTGGAACATCAGCTACAGCTTGGCCAAAGTTTAATACTGGCTAGACATCAGTTACTCATGTGAAATTTCAAAAGCACAAACATAGAAATTTAATATATCATCATCTTGATTTTGCAAAGTCTCCTAACGATGAATAAATTTTGTGGGTATTGTATTAACAAGTCAACCTATGGCTTCCAAACTGTTGAGGGTCAGTTGCATAAAATCTGTAGTTTCTGACAGAGTCTTACTAGGTGCATCAATACAGAATAAAACTCCATTAAGTGATTAACTGTAGCCAATTAGTATTTTATGGACTTTCGCTGATACAACACTGTCACCATTGCAGGTCTGACATTCAATATGTCTGCTGTCAACAGCGAAGTACAGGTATAGTATGGGAGAGAAGAGGCAAAGCTCCAGACAACTGACATTCACAATCTTTGCACAAGATGGTGGTGGTCAGCTTTGTCTCAGGCAAGATCCACGGTGTTCACTAGATACAGGAATGTGCAGATCCCATGTGCCCTCATGGTCTAACAGTGAGACTTCTTTTATCACATGACAGAGTAATCATTGCAAAAGATAAAAGGTTGTCACACATGTACCGAGTCAACAGTCAAGCGCAGTTCTGACAATCAAAATATCAACTGACGTGGATAATGACGGCGGCAATCGGCCACAAGAACCAAAGCACGCCCCACCCACAACTGACACACCCGTGGATTTTATTCTTCACAGCATCACAGAATACAATTGTTACCATCCTTCAAGATCTTGCTAATCCATCTCCAGATTTAAGGTTAAGAATGTGGAAAAATGTTACACCATACATAGTGGTATTTTATGTATAAGTGTAAAAAATGTATAGTTTTTCCTCCAACATCTGTAAAACTGATAAAGCGTCTTATGAAACGTTATAAAGTATGAATTGTACTTGTAAGTCGGCATAGTTCAGTACTCCTTTTCAGCAAAGTTCGTAGCTGCGGATCAACTTTAGACTGTACATAAGGAATTTTATGCCAAATGTGAAATTTAATATATATTTAACTATCAGGCTAACAGAAAGTTTATATTGGGCTGTGTTGATAATAGGTGGTACTTAGTTCAGAGAAAAGTTTCACACCTTAATGACCAAACTTGTGTGAATGTAAGAGACTTCAACAGAGAATGATTTAGTGAGCACAAGTGGGAGAAAAATATGCAGTAAATATGTTTGCCGAGTTGTTAAACCATTTTATAACCACGAACTGACAGCTCTCACGAAACAAAATCTACAAAATGAAAACTGACCGTATCCAATGACAGAGACGTGAAACAGACAGAGAAGTTGAGGGAGAGCAAAATAGAATAACTCGGAAACATCTCCAGATGATGACGATGATAGTGTAGCATGCATTGTCTGCAGTGGCCTGTTTTTTAAATTCAAAATCAGAGGAAGGCTCAATTAAGTGTAAAGGATGGGATCACAAGGCACGCTCAGAGATTGTGAGCAAGACGATGATGAGGGATATGCCTGTGATTTGTTATGATGTGGGAAAAAGCTAAAGCCATCATTTTTTTAATTTCATCCTGTAACTAATTATGATTATATTTGGAATAAATGGTATTCCTCTTGCTTAATTTCCCATTTCCTTCGTGGCACTATAATCAGACACAATATTTTACCCAATTCTTGCTTAATTTCCCACTTCCTTCGTGGCGCTATAATCAGACACAATATTTTACCCAAATGGGTGGATAAAACAGGCTATTTTGCACAACTTGTACAAACTACATTCATGGTGGAATGACTATTAACATTCAGTACTGTGCAAGTTGGGAGTAATTTTCCATTTCACAACCTAATGATCAAGCCACAAGCTGAATATATGACCAAGATGGATCCACAGTCAGTTATTTCTATAAATAATGTCACTGTAGTGTTTCGGCTAATTTTGGTAACAGTGTATTACAATGTTTTTCCACAAAGTACTCATGTTATTTTGGTAACAATGTTTTTCCACAAAGTACTCATGTTCTAGACGCAGTTAAGATGCACATGGCTAGCAAGCAGTTTTCATGGATTACCCGATATTTTATTTCCACACAGAATAAAGTCACTTTCAGTGAGGAGAGGAAAACGCTAGCTCGCGAGTTACGCCTACCTGATCAGGCATGTTTCGTTTCGGTTATGTACGTGCTAGGGTTCATGGGAAAGGCAAATTTGCATTTTCCTTGCACAGAGCATGTCCGCTCAAAATGTTTCAAATACAGTCTCCGTTTGACACAAGTAGGAGGGAAAGTCAGTCCACTGTTGACATCCGAACTGGGTGGATGTAGGACGCCACTAGTGCAACTGCTGAGTATAATTTGCTGGATATTAGTAAAAGGTAAGCCTTGAAATGTCAGAATATGTCTAGAAATACTTAAAAAGAGATTTCCAAAAGTGATATAGGTTAACTGTAGAATCTAAAGAATGTCTACACTTTTCATCACCTTTCGCGGAGAGAACGCATTTTGAACCCCTTCACAATTAAGAAAGTCAGCACAGTTATAGGCCAGAGCACTTCATGCCCATGTGTAATATTTATAGGGCGTAAGAACCAGCGAGCATTAAACAACTTCTTACGTATATTCTTCTCTTCTGTAAATATTAAAGAATAGTTTGTTAGTTAACACATGTGTGCATGATGCAACTGTGGCCTGAACATTCTTGTGCTAGGGTAACCAAGGTGTCAAGGACCAAAAGTGTGGGTGCAGGATTTCGGCGACAAGTTTCCCTACGTCCCAGACTACGTGTCATCCCCTGATGCACTTAGAATAACTAACTAACTAGATGGCTTACCGAACCCGAAGGTTCATCCCCGAATTAACCAAAGCCCTCCACCGGACCCTGTCCTGGGCCAACATAATCCAGTCTCCTTCAACTCCTATCTCCCATAGATCCCGCCTGAGATTATCCTCCCATCTACGTCTAGGTCTCCCCAGGGGTCTGTTCCCCTCAGGTTTCCCAACCAGTACCCGGTGCACACCTCTTGTCCCAATCCATGCGCGCTACATGTCCCGCCCATCTCACTCTTCTCGACTTAATCACCCTCACAATACTGGGGGAGGAGTACAGATTTTTAAGCTCGTCATCATGCAGTTTTCTCCACGCCCCATCGTCTTCCCTCTTAGGCCCAAATATCCTCCTCAACACCCGATTCTCAAATACCTGCAATCTGTGTTCCTCCCTCTGAGTGAGAGACCATGTTTCGCACCCATACAAAACAACAGGCACTTAGGCTTAGGAAAATGATTCCTTGCAGTGACTTGGAGTATGGTATCGCTACCATTCCAAATTTTACATTATAATTTAATGTAATTAGAGAATAATTTTGTGATACAAGACAAAGAAGTGATATCAGGAAATGATGGCATAATAAAATTCTTGAGCATGACTGGAATTATAAATCACATGCCAGAACAGATTGCAGGCTGTAGATACAAGGAAATGTCTTGTAAGAAACATTTAACTACATGCAAACATACTGTTACTACGAAAAATATCTTTCTCACTGATCAATGATCTGATGAGATAAGGATAAAAGTTAAACTCAGTCCTTCAAGTGATGCGGCACTGCAGCCTCTGGTTCTTAAATTGCCTCACACAGGTAGGGACCCTTCTTTCTCTTCAAATAATACCTAAGACTGACAATAGGGCAAATTTAATGAGCACTCAGAAGTCTTTCCCAGGGGTTCAGAAGCCAGAGTATCTTGCGCTAAGATCTGGAATGTATGGAGCCTTACCTCCACTTCCCCCTACAACAGGGACGACATTTATCTTATAACTGAATTTTCATGTACCGCTGGAACTCCACAGAAATGTTTGTTTTCAAATTATAAACAAAATCTCAAAAAGGGAAAAGGGGAAGAACTCAACCCTTTCTGTCCTCTAAATGCACACTTCATGGCCTGGCAACCACATTTCAGTGAGTACCTGAAAAAATGCCAGTAAGTTACAGCTGTCGGACACTACGACGTGCGCCCAAGCTGGCTTGGTGTCAGGACACAGGGCGTAAACATGACACGTCGTCACTGTTATGGCTGCATGATAAACCGAGAGGAGTTCCATCTAATGGCTTTCATTTGTACATAATGTGATGCTTTTGAATTTTGTTTCTGAATCAGAACCTGCAACACTTCAAAAATATCCATCAACACTCATCTATCCATTTTACAGTAAAGCCAAAAGGGGTGCAGATAATTCAGAAGCAAGACTGTGGTCTACCAGTTGCAATAAAAACAAAAATACCACACAGCAGTTAGGACCAACAGCACTGTAAATGCCAGTATTTGTTACAAAGTGCTTAAGTTGTCAGCAGTTGAAACTTACGCTGCTTTTTCCAAGAATTTGTTTCTGAAACATCAAATATAAAAAAATTGTATTAAATTTTAACAGTGAACTTCACAAATCAACCAGTGAAAATGTGAGGTAGCTGTCAACAGCTAGCTTCACGCTCTCACCACTTTAATCACCCGATCATCCCAAAAAGTTCATGTGGCAGTAGGAATCAAATCCCAGTCATTCAGTTCCAGGTCTTTTCCTGAACAGCGTACACTCTGACAGAGGTACATATTACTTTTTCACAAATCTGTGCCTTTACATGGTTTCTTTCATGAAAATCTGATGGTTGCACACCACTGCTACACACTATAAATATATTTGTAGCTCCACATTACAATGTATTTTGAAAAAACTAATGTTAATTGTCATATTCTTTAAAATTTTACTTTAAAATATCCAAAAACATTAAAATCTACTATTCTAATCATCTATCTGTACTATAACAGAGGTGTGGATTGAAGCCAGTTGTGCTCCGAGATACACCACGTACACATGAAATTATGAACGTGCGACACGGAACGGGTAACTTATTAAACTACTACAGTTGAAAGGTAAAAGATGGAGAAAATGCGCCTCTTGTAGCCAGATTTTATAAGCCACGTTATCGTAGGCTATAAGGGACTGGCTACAGGATGCGATGCCGGAGCTCAAATCCTCAACAGGAGAGGACGTAAAAAGTTTCTCTTTGCTGCTATGTTCACCTGACATCCTGTTCTGTCAGCAGTGACAATGAAGCTGATCCCTTATAGAAACAGACATTCTGAAACTCAAGAAATTATGAAGAGAAGAATGACAGCATCACAGCAGCAGGTACATAATGATATCTACGTTGCAGCACGCGCCATCACGTGGATGTGACACCCTTCCTTGCAACTAGCAGGTTCAGCACAGGGTGTTTCTTAATGTAATCCACTGCCTTTTTATGTGTCACCATTGTGAAGTCATAACCATTGCACTGCAACATGAAGACGGTCATGTACAAGTGGAAACGGCAATTGTGGCTTATCCCAGCATTCAAACATTTTAATTCTTAGGTTATTCCACAATGCAGCTTCATGTAACGAGGCTGTGATTTACCTGTAAAATCTTGTCGTGCATCCGGAGTCCTGACTTTGCTGCGGGGCTGCCGTCATGTACCTCTGTTACATATATGCCCTGCAAACACACGTAACTCTTCAGTGGAAGAAGCAGGACTTAATCAGAGCAATGGCCTTACTACCTAGTCTCAATCTTCGACTAGCTCGACTTAGGGGCCCCAACAGAATACCATTTTGTCCTCCCACTGGTCACCTGAAGACGGAACTAGAAGCGACTTCCGATACATCAGTTTTAATTTAAAAAACACTTACATACTGGGCAAAGTCCTATAAAACAATTAAACACAGTGTGTTACATCATTAAAAACCTTTCAAACTTAGCCTTAGCCTAGTTCGAGGCATTTGCCTACGGAGAATGTGGAAAATCACAAAATGCCAAAGGTCAGATATTACATACCCCATCTGAGATTTAAACTGGGTGCCCCAGAATTCTTACCATGTACATGCTAATGTTCACATGCACCACATTTAAAAAATCAAGTAAAAATATGCAGCCATAAGAAACACTTCCCTCGCCAGTGCATGTACATAAACATTTCTGTGCAAAAAAGTAAGGAATAGTAAACTAATCAAATGTTTGTCACTGACATAAGACATTGCTATGAAGGAAGGAAACTTACACAGTTTTAATTACTTGTTTTCATCTGATGCAGAAGCCCCTGATTGAAATCCCATATAATGTGTCTTGATTTCAGTTACATTTAATTTATCCCAAGCGTCTAATATCTGTGTGAACTGTCTCCATTTCAGTTTTCCTCAGAGCTCAAGTCCACTGTACCTTGGACAAACGTTAAATGGGAATCTCAATGTGTGTCATGCCGTACGAACAGAAGTGCCTTCTTAGCAAAGTACACTGCATCTCGCTGACTGCGCGGTTGGAAAGAAAGGGCCTAATGGGCAGAAGAGGGATGAAGTAGCGTAGGGAAATTAATTACAGTCTATTTAACAACACTTTTAGTAACTCAGACCATACGGTGCTGAATGAGAGAATGATGGTGAATAATGAATTAGAAAGAAAGAAACCACGAAAAACTTAGCCAGGATACATAGTCTCCAGGCTGAGAATTTAACCTGGGACCTCATGAATACTACTCAACTGTGATGCTCGGTGCAAGGAAATATGCTGAAAATTCTCTAACATAATCGACAAGTCTGGTTGCTCGACATTTATAAAACATGTCTGCAAATGAACCAAAATGTTGTAAACACTGTTCCTAACATAAAGAGAATATTATACCAGGTACTCATAATGATTAATTTGTCGTCATCATCACAGAGGAATGTTTCAAGCAGTTACCATATTGTTATTTTGAGAAATTTGAAACCATATACTACAACAGGCGGAGGAAACTACCGTCCCTCAATTAACCTTACAAGATCTGGAAGGAGGAATGAATCTCAAAACCCTGGACAAATGTTACAGTTCGAATATATCTTGTAAGAAATAAGTTGGTTACTAAAACCCAGAAACCAGTTACTCTGCTAATCAACGAGACCAATATGTAACGTACATTGTCAGTGTATCCCTGAGGACTCTTCCTGTAATCTTGGTCTATCCCACCACCAATCTTGAAGCCACACTTAAGGATCTCTCTCCCCTCCGGATCTAGTCCCAGTTCCTTGTGCAGCGTGATGGGTATCTGCAAGCAGAGAACATGGCATTACAGTTCACTCCATCACAACAAAAGTTCGCTCTTATGCAGGATCTGCGAATACATCCTCATTTTCCTAATCTTAATTATACATATACTGACATCACAAAAAAAAAAAATTGACACAAACAGTTCAGGTTACGTGATGACAAAAAATCAAAATTAATAAATATCATCATGATAAATGATTGCATTGAAGCTGACAAGAGTGCTCTGTGAGAAGGAATAATATGAAATTACACTAGTGGTCTGAAAGGGACGCAAGTGGAAATGTTTTGTGTGGTTACGAACACAATGTATCTAGTGCCATTAGTTGTATGCGCACCTCATATAGGGAAATGATTATGGGCTTGTCCACAGTGGTTACCCGAGGCTCTTTCCAAAGGAGTAAAGCGACCAGAATATGAATCTCCATCTGTGTCACAGTCTGGCTTACTTCTGGGTGTGGTGCTTGAGCACAGAAGAAACTTATTGGGTTAATCTCAGCAAATAAAATTAGTAATATGGATGGGTGTCCATATCTCATCTGGTCTCCCCTCCTGAAGAAGTCCTCACTACTGTCACTAATATGTCACAGAGGATTAACTTAGTCCAATTCTTTAGTTCAGTAAGATTTTAGGTTTTCACAGTGGTGAGTCTGAAGATGGATGTCTTCTGGGTTGTTGCGCTGTGTAGTCTGGTAGATGTCCGCCAACATTTCAGAGGTCATGCTACCTCCGTCATCAGGGCGATATTTAGCTCAGGATTGTGTGACTGGTGTAATAAGTCACATAACATGCTACATTAATGTTATTCAGAGGTTATCATGATAGACTCGACATGTCTCAACTGAACACATGGAGGCAGATTTGAGGTTCTCACGACAGTGAAGATGTCAATGCCAGAGGCAGAATGTTCTTGTATAACATTCTTACCTATACAGGACGCAAAATATCTGTGAACTTCAGCTACACCACAGCAAGAGTGGAAGGGAACATGGAAAGACGCTGCATGCGCTACTGATTTCCCCCCTCCTCCTGTACACATCACCTGTCTGTATTTGTGATGATCAAAGAAGCTTCAGACATCTTGCAACAAGTATGCCTACACATCCAAACAGCATCACAACCCAGAAGAAAACACATGGGCATGTTTTACATGTGTATGTGCATAAATTACTGAAGAATGGGATACAAAAGGAATTGTGAATGGGGTAGGGCAGAGGAATGATGAGCCAGATTCTACAATTCCATGAAGACAAGTGACAATGGTTGATTCATTATACCAATACGATGCTGAACATTACCAAATTGTCTGAGGAATATCATTTTGACAGCTGTATAATGTCTAACATAATACTGGTATAAAGTTCCTGTAATGCCCCAGTAGTCTTTCTCTTATCACTAGTTTCTGTCCATCAAAAGGCTCTGCCTATGAAAGTGTACAGGATCACTCCATGCGGACTGCCTACGCTTGCTTCCGTAACTCTTCACAGGCATCAACAAACACGTGAGTATAAGCTGAAGCTTTCGCGACGACTGAAGTTGATGAAAGACTCTCAAGTTACAAGCCGCATCAGGTCGCTGAATGATGAATAAACCGTATCTTCTGCCGTTTCGAGAGCAATCTCTGCTCTCATCCTCAGGGCTGCTGCGTAACAAATCTGATCCTTTGTAGTGCGCTCACCGATGGGAACACAAACCTCATTTTCTTTGTTTTTACTTCTAGACCAATCTCCTTACTGGCATCAATTAGAGCTCTTTTTTAAAGGTAGTTCTGTTAACTCTCCATAGATTTACATCAGCATATACCAGAAGCTGGTGTGCACATTCAATTTCAATGCCACCTAGTTTTTTTGGACCTTCGTAATGGCGTATTGCAAAGCAAATTTGTAAAGCAATGGCAAAAAAGCATCTCCTTGTTTTAGACCATTTTGAATAGGACATATGTCAGACATGTGTTTACCTTTCTGGACTTTACTACAGGTATCATTTAAACATATTTTCATAAGCCTAACTAGTTTCACAGGTAAACCAATCTCAATCAGAATGCTACATAATACTTCCCTTTTAAATGAATCACAGGCTTTCTTGAAATCTATAAATAGCTGATGTACTGTCTCATTGTACTCCCATTTTTCTCTAGGATCTGGTGGATAAAGAAATCTGATAACTGGATAACCTGTTATGCCAAAACCAACACTGATAATCCACAATGATTTCATCTACATATGTGCTTACCTTGAGTGAAAGAATATTAAGCTTCTTAAACAATTCCCTACATCAGACTCTCTTTTTAGTGCCTACCATTATACTGATGATTTTCAAATGTAAAATACCTTTTTTGCTGTCTGTAGAGTTTCCCCAGAAAATAATTCCATATGACATGATTGAATAAAAGCAAGAGTCATTTTATCTATTTCAGGATTTTATTTCTACTTTATATTTTCTGTCATGAAGGTATGAACGAAGTTACTGTCCAGTTTTACTTTGAATTCCAAAAGCATTTGACTTTGAAAGCAATTCACAATTAAATGCTTTAACAAGGTTACAAAATATTTGACTCTAACAAACATTTTCTTCTCAGGGGCACATCAATTACCAATAAGCTTTTTCTGCTAAAAAGCATTTCTTAAATCCAAATTATGGGAAACTGTGTTTACTTGGGCTACTTCCTACTGCGGGATGACCTCATACCAGTACCCGCCCTATGAGTCACTGTTAACCCAGAAATTAGCTACGGACGTTGAGCCGAATCATTATTCTCATACGTACACTCCCAATTTTGGGACAGAGTTCAATACTGTAATCAATACACCGATGGTACAAATACTCCCAGTCGGGTTACGATAAGGGGGTGTGTAAACATACAGGCAAACCTACATAACAAAATCACTTTCTGTTACTTACGCTAAGGCATTCCATCGCCGTCCCAGCTTGGTGCTGAAAAGCCATTTTGGCACACATCTCATAGCCTGTTATGAGTTACTGTTTAATTTAAAACAAACTGCACAAGCAAACCACCTTCCTTCCAACTACCACACCTTCCAGCTCACGGAACACCTTTCACTCACTAGCGATATTTCGAGATATCAAAACAACGATCGAAAGGCGTAATCGACTATCGACGCTGTCTTGTCACGAGAAAGCAGTACGAAATCGTTATCTTAAGTAAGCTGTGGCAAAACAAAGATATATGGGAAAGACAATAGCAAATCAAAATTGCATTCACTTCACAGTGGATGAAATTCAGTTCGTATTGTAGTTATCATGTTACTGTCAACAGAATTGCGATGTTAAGATCTTATCCATAGGATTTCACGGCTGAGTTCAATGTATGACTTTGGCTTTCGGGTGAAAGCGTGGGATATTTGGCGTTAACCAACGTTACGACGAACATTGCAGTTGCCATTTTGAAATTGAATAAGGTGAAGTGGCTCTCACCCGAAGTATTTTTAAATTTACTTCTGATACTAGGGCCGTTTTTAGGAAATTGACTACTCACGTAATCCCCCACCCCCTCACAATCCCACCCCAAAAGACAAATGTTTTTCCCTTCAACCTCATGCCACGAGATAGGAGAATCACTTATTTAATCTCTGTCCATTTTCACACAGAACTGGCACCTAAAAATGTCCTGGATATATCCACGAAACTAGTCAGGCTGATTAGAGGGTGTTTAAAAAACCGATAGTGACATCCAAAAAGGTAAACATTTGTCTGATGCTTTTCATATTCGGAATCGTTTAAAACAAAGAAATACTTGAAGATGACTGCCTTCTAGGTTGTTATATCTTGCAGTCAATTACCCCTAAATGCTTATGCTGAAAAGGAAAGCAAACATAAATGGGGGCAGGTTTAGTTAATTACGTTATGCTGTTGGGATGTTGTGGGATCAGGTTCTGGGAATTTTGATGTGACCACTTGTCATGCTGGAAGTGAACCTCTATATCACCATGATGTTCCAGGTAAACCCTGGATTATTTCACACAGACACCTTGCATATGTGGCACATTGATTAGGAACCGTAGAATGTTTTGCTGGATGTATAATACCTCAATGCCACCAGGATGTTCCAAGCATAGCACGATTACCGGGTGCAGAGACACTGCATCTATGACGTGTAAGCAAGGAACTAAATTTGTCCTGGGTTTCCAGGAAGGTTTGGGGTAAGCCCCCAGTTATTGGATTTGGATGCTTTAAATATAAGACACATTGGCAGGGAAATACACCATGTTCCGTTAGATGCACATCTCTATGTGAGAAAGATGGTACAAAGGATAGTCAGAAGCTTTGGGCATGGACACTCTGCAAGCTGGACATACCATAATCGAACTGCACTATGGAAATAAAGGGGATATCGCCAGCCTGTACACCCGTAGTTTAAAATTAAGGGTGGAAGTTGAGGCGAGCATGGCTGACAGTCACTGCAGATGAATCGGCAGGGAACGGCACCACAAAATTTGAGATGATCAGACTCCCAGTCCTTACGGCTCAGGCGTGAGTGGAGAGGTTGAGCCAAACGTTGTTCCACCTGCTACTTCGGCTTTCCATGTGCCAATCTGACAAGATAAGAGCCGAGGTCCACCAGCGGGTGCAAACACCAAGGTCTGGGGAATTGAACAGATGGTGTGTAGCAAGGACAAGTGTCTCGATCACTCTGAAAATTATATGGAGAAATAGAGGGCTTCTCCAATATTCCTTGCTATTTTGGATATGTATGTAAAGGCAATAAACACCCTTGTAATTTACTTATTGAACAACCTTTATACTACCAACATATGTAAATGACAAAACATAAATAAAAGGTGATTATTTACAAATTATATACAGTGTAGTTATACTGAGAAATGAGTGTTAAAATGCACACGCATAGCGTGACTTATGCTTTTTAATATACTTTCTATTTCATAAAATTCAAAGAAGAAATAACAAATATACATCCTTAATCAAAGTAATGCATTACAGCACTTTAAATATTTAAAAAACTAAGGCTGTTTGTTGCAGGCATCTGACCTTTTAAATTCCCATTAGTCATGGGGTGCAGCACCTCATGCACTGGAACATGGCGACGTGAGTGGCCAGCCTGCTTGTAGTTACGGAGGATGAACACTGTACAAATAAATTCCTCATGAATCACGATAACGGCAGAGGGTCCTGATCTTTCACCCTCCCTCCGCCCCCTCACTTCCATCCTTCCCATCATCTGGCTGCCGCCCTTGCACGAGACAAGTCACACAGACAAACCTGGTAACATGGATGAATCACAAAACTGGGTAGAGAAGTGATAAACACACCCCATGCTTACTGAATCATGAAGGGGTGGAGGGAACCACACTGACCAAGCCCCAACTGGATGTGCTGCATGTGAATCTCCACACAATTCTGGAACACCTGTTGGTTCCGCGGACTCAGACGAGAACGGATCTCTTCCATGGAGCTTTGGAGGACTTTCACCTCATATGCATTACGGTCTGCATCTGATAAACTCTGAAATCAACATATAAAAAGGAAACTAAGACTGATATCCTCGTGCAGCCCCACCAGACATTCCATGCAAGTCAATTTTTGAAGATTTCCATCTTCTGGGTTGTTGCGCTGTGTAGTCTGGTCGATATTAACCAACGTTTCAGAGGTCATACTTCCTCTTTTTAGTTAAATTTGTTTGGCAATGGCATATGAAAAGTTTTACACCGCTATTGTGAATAAGCACTAGACTGGTAGCATTACAAACTCCCAGACTGTACGTGTAAGACAAAGCTACTAGCAGTAAACATGGCAACAACTTACGGGACTGCAATTCAGTAACTTCAGCACATTGTGTTCCAAGAAAATTCATGCAGTCATGACTTCAGTTAACAAGAAGTGTAGAACTAAACGCTATGACATATGACATATGTGTGTGTCTGTGTACTGCAGTCTCATCTCAATGTAGTTGTCCCTCACAAATGAAGAGGGAAAGCAAGGGCAGTGGACTTAACAGGCGCTGTTTAGCCATGGTGCCTCAATGCTGTTCCCATTCTGATATGGCAGATCCCACTGTAACGCTTTAATTTTGACACTAGATGGAGTTGAATAGTTGGCTTTATAATCTGGCCCTCTCTACCCTCTGGTACACTTTGCGTGAACATGTCTGAATCGTGGTCTCTACAAGGTGTCACGGTCAGATATTATGGTCAGAGGAATAGTGGACTTACTACAGGATTGTCAGCTGCATTATAACTCTGGGGATTTTACTTATTTTGAAAACATTTATATCTTTTGTATTATCTGTATGTAATATTCCATCAAAAAGTATTTGAAAGCAAACACATTGTGAAATTCTGTAGTATAATGTTTTAATCTTAGAAAAATCAGTTTTAAGAAAGTTGATGGAATCTTCAACAAAATACAGTAGCATGTTCAGACTATAAATATAATATTTCTGGAAATATTTTCTACCACTTGGGAACAGTGACAAATCCCCAATCAGAATATTAAACGCAAGAGATGTGACAAGGAAGCTAAACGGAAGCAACGCGAAGGAGGAACTCCAGCGCTCGCTCACCCTCACTTGCAGCATAAGCGCAGTCAACTGTGTGATGAGGCTCAGCATTCGCTCGCCGTGCACAGGCAGGCGGACGTCCGGCCGATTGTGCTTCATCACGAGTTCGCGTGCCTCTTCTTGACTCCTCTCACGAAGATGAGACGGTGCCAGCATGGCGGCAATACTAGGCTCCGGAGCAATCTGCAAACCATGTTAAACCAAGTCTACAGTCTAAACTGAACGTTTTACTCTCGTGGATGCGCTTCTGTGTTTCATAAAAGAACACTGCATGAAGAGACTAACACAGTGTAAAAATATTAGTCCCGCTAGTAGCAACAAATTTTATTGTAAAAATTACAGATACAGATTCAGTGTTCATTGAAATATATCAAGTTTATTTAATTATTTATTTTTGTTAAGCGGAAATACATACTGTAGGAGTTGAAGGTGATTGGAATTTGTTGTCAGAGGACACGGACTGGTGGAGGGCTTTGGTTAATTCAGTGAAGAACCTTCGGGTTCCCTGAGCCAGCTAGTTAGTTAGTTAGTTAGAAAATATATGAAGCACCTTGCAAACCTTTATTATCAATCACCATTATGTGTGCATTTGTTTGCATAGGTACATCCTGTTCCACATAATTCTCTACTTGGCCACGGTAGGACAAATTATTTTTAAATATAGTAACGTGATAGAAAGATGTTCTAGGGATAACTTATAAAGACTAATTTCAAATTGCACAGACTTCTAATCCTACAAATCTTGCATAATTAATGCAGTACACAATGTAAGCTTATAAGGTTTAACATCCCGGACCAACGCAGAGATGGTCACAACTCGTACTCAAGTGAGAATGACCTGGAATTTGTAAATATATTATTATTATTATTTAGTGTTCTGTCTGACGACAGGTCCATATGAACAGGATCCTTCCATCCTTTTCTCGGACTGGGACCTGTTCATATACGTTCTTGGCAGATGATCCAGAAGTGGTTTGCCATTGCCTGCTTCTGTGTGTGAATGGAGTAATTGTTGGGATGCCACAGAGGAAAACTCTTATAAATTCGAACCCGAGACCCCAGGATTACAAGGCCAGCGTTCTAACCGCTAGACCACCGTGGCTGGTGTAAATATATTATAAAATGTTTATTTATGTCAAATGGCAGGTACACAAAATTTCATCTTTGACCCTTTTTTGCCAAGTTTGTTTGCCATCAGTTGTAATAGTAGTAAATGTCTGTCATTATTTTATATTATTTGTAGTGCTAGTATCAGCAGCAATATTTTCTTCTTGTCAACAACTTATTACTCAATTACAGAGTCAATCGACAATAATTTGTTGGATACGAATTCAGAACTTTACACTTTCAAAAAGATACAGAAAACAAATACACCATACTTATAACTTCATAACTACGCCAGCTGATAGAAAAACCCTCAATGTTTTGTGCACACCCCGCAAATCACGTGGCAAATGTCAAAGAATGCGGCAGAGGCTGGGTGGTCCCATGTGAAATTGTGTGCACAATCACGTTGCACATCTGTTACAGACTCTTTCTTTCCTAACTGCAGAACATGCCAACTTCTATGTTGTGTGGTAACCATTTTCAAAACTAGTGGCATCTAGCAGAGGCACGCAACAACAATCACCAAGGTCATGTAAACAATATTTTTAGAGCTTTTCTACCGTCATGTGGATATGAAGTTTTACGTGTGCCACATTTCTTTTCTGCATAATTTTGGAAGTGTAATGTTCTTCTGTGTTTCTAGTTGTAATGGTCCATTTGTTATCACTAACAAACTGAAAGGTAAATGAATATTTTAGAACAGCCACCACTTTGCTGTTCAACACTCTACATAGTGTCACCTCAACAAAAGCTGCACATTTTTCTACCTATTACTATAAATAAGATCAGAATCTCGTATAAAGTGGCAGTAGTGTTACTCGCACTTCAAAAACACATGCATCCTATCAAACAGGGTGAGTCAGAAGTATGTTTACAAACTTCGTGTGTGTGTTCCAAGATCAAAAATAAGAAAAAATGTTCCTATGAACATGGGGTCGCAAATGTTTCATTTTCGAAATAATAGCCAAAAATAAGTTTCAATGAATTGACTTTAGATCAAAGTGAATCCAGATTCCAGCAAAGATTTTCAATGAACATTTGGGCAGGAATTATTGGCGACATGGTTATTGGTCCACACATGCTTCCATCTCGTCTTAGAGGACCTTCATATTGGTGATTCTTAAGAAGACGCTTGCCACGTCTCCTTGAAGATGTACCACTGAATACAAGAAGACAAATGTGGTTTATGCACGACAGAGTTTAGGCACACTTCTCCCGTCACATCAGATATCAACTCAATGAACATTGCCCTCAGCGATGGATTGGGCATGGTGGCCCAGTAGCATGGCCACCGAGGTCACCGGACCTGACTGCATTGGACTTTTATCTGTGCGGTCACTTGAAGTCCTCCATTTATACAACACATAAACAATGACGACCTATGGGAACGTGTGCAGAATGCATGCCAGATGATTTGAGGAAACCCTGGTGTGTACGAAAGAATCCGTCAGTATTGAAAATTATTTTTGGCTATTATTTCGAAAATGAAACATCTGCGACCCCATGTTCTTCTGACTCACCCTATATATTATTACTGACTGAAATAAATATGATAATGTACACACCAAGTATTATGAAAATCAGTCAACTGAAAAGTTGAATGGGGGACACAGATATAATCACATAAAGTACTGTGATCTCAAGAACACCATTTTCCCTTAGAGATAAAAGTGGGCTAAACATGGGATATGATACACTCTATTCCATTTCAGTAATAAGCAAACATGGACCATATAGAAGAAACAATTGAAATATTACTGCTCACCTCTTGACAGTAGTTTTGGACATTTGTCAAGTAATCCTGCAAATCACGGTTCAGATGCTCCAGATCGATGATGACGCTCGCGTAACGTCGCTGGAAGTCTTCTGGGATGTGTGCCCCAAACGACTTTCTTTTCTCTGCCTCTGTGTTCATTTCTTTTAATGTTCTGATCTTAGACTTCTTTGCATTAAGAATCTTGGATAACCTCACCTGACAAATAGAATAAGGAAGGTCAGGCAAGAATGCAATCAACCGTGGCTCATAATATAATGTGGTATAACTCTTTTACATTAGATTCTGCGAAAACTGCACAATTATATTGTGTAACGTAAACTGATACACAAGCCAAACATGTGCTATGTCGGCATGCATAACAAGCAGTGTTAGTAAGTATTCTACGACTAAATATAAGATGGCTTCCTTCAGTACATTGCTTCTCAGATCTACAGCAAGAAGATTTATTCTCCCATTAAAGTTCTGTCTGAAAATAATGTGTCTTATCTGTGTAATGCATTTTATACGAGCATACAAAATGAGCTGTTGTTTTACAATTTAAATTGTGAAACTCTCCGTTACAGAAAACATGTTAATAAAACTCATGAATGACGGTCACTAAACAAACAAATTTGTAAAAATCATACACTGACCACAACAAATTTTGACTGAAGGTAAACAAATGCTGGAATAATGCCAGCTACAAGTACAGTTAGATAAAAATAAACTAATACTGAGTAAAAAATGAAGTCCTATTACTACAAATCCAATCTGGAAACGTCACGGAGTCATGGCAGTTTCAAAGATAAAGAACTAGCAAAAATAGTAAGGTTTAATGAAAATTTCCATGATAAGTTCAAAGTGAGACTAAGATAAAGTGTTGCTCAACAATAAAACATGTTACTGACTAGGTCTAACAAGCAGACAACATGCTGTCACAATGCACAATGTTGCCAACCACTTCAACAAAATAATGCCTACCTGTAAGGGGGTCTGACAGTGACAATGAATGTTTATTTATTTATTTAGTGTTCTGTCTGACGACAGGTCCATATGAACAGGATCCTTCCATCCTTTTCTCGGACTGGGACCTGTTCATATACGTTCTTGGCAGATGATCCAGAAGTGGTTTGCCATTGCCTTCTTCTGCGTGTGAATGGAGTAATTGTTGGGATGCCACGGAGGAAAACTCCGTGTTGCCTAGACCACGGCCTTGCCCAACACAAGTTATAAATTCGAACCCGAGACCCCAGGATTACAAGGCCAGCGTTCTAACCGCTAGCCCACCGTGGCGGTTAATGAATGTTAAGACTACAAAATTATTAGTAAAAGAGGGGTGCATGAAAGAGTAATAAAAACTCAGGATGTAGAGCGGCCTGCCACATCGTATCACAAAGCAATGCACTAAAATCACACATTTCTATTCCTCAGCAAAATTAATGTGATTAATTAGAATTTAAAAAAAACAAACAAAGAATATCATCAGTTAAATACAACTAGTGAGTGGGTCCTACACCTCACACAAATGCTGCAACGTTTGCCAAGCCACAGCGATCATCCCCCAGTTTGTCAAGCAAAGCATCACAGAGACAAAACATGTGACAGTCTCCTTCACCACGAAAAACTTTCTATTGAAGATGGCATGGACTACGGAATGTGACGTCTAGAGCAAAGGAGGTTCCTCATCCCACCTAGACTTAGGTGCATATTTGTACCCATGTTCAGTAAAATTAGATTTAGTCCAGTGTATACAGCTGAAATAATTCTGCTTATATTGTCTGTAAGAACTGATCCCCTCAGTACATCTGCAGCATTAAAAACTTCAAACAGTCTAAGGGCGGACGTAGCTGCGATAGAAGACGAGCCAGGTTGGCTTGTGTGATTGGTGATGGGAGGTTATCCTGTCAAGGCAACTTGTCCTTTGTGAAAAGGATTTTGGTCAGAAGGCTCTCTGGGATTTGAACCCAGAGGCACTTAAAGCCGTTAAATATAAATGAAATCTGTTTTCAAATTTCATCGATTCTCACAGTAAAAAATCTGTGAGCATATCTGCTGTTGTAGGGTCACTGTTCCTATCAGAAACCCTATTGAGGCTGCCCCCTTGATAGTCTAGTAACGCAACACGAGTGTTGCTGTAGTACATACCACCATGTCCAGGAACTTGACGGGGAAGCCTCCCACGGTTCCATCTGATGGGATGCTCTTGGATTTGATGACAGGGGGTCCTGCCAGCAACGGATCACTGTTCAGTTTCGGAGACGAAGGGTCCAAAGAGAAGCGAGGCGGAGTCATATAAGGGGCCATGTTCCGTGGCCGAAACTTCTGAGCAAAGCTTGACACGGTTATGGTTTCCGGTGGTTCATTGGACTGAAACATTACACACAGGTTGGATCACTGAAACCTGCAGTCAAAAAACCTCACCAATTAACATCACAACACATTGTAGGGGCAACATATTTAACCAAATCTAGGGTGGCATTACACCAGACATAAATGTGCTTAATTAAGCACATTATGAAAATATAGGCACATGCATTCTTAACCTCTGCACTACATCTGAGTGGCCACCTTCATGCCCTTGCTGCTTTAACCCCCAAGGACAGACAGAGCCCCATGCATGCACTGACAGGAGTTTGGGTAGACTCCAAAGCAAATTCATATTCAATGGGAGAAAGAAAATTCTCCGACACTACCAAAAAACAAACTGTGGCCATCCACTATTTTTACAAAGTAATTCCAACTATTCTTGAATTTGAATAGTAAGATGAACCCAAAGAATTGCTGGCCTTTTATATTACTAATATCACTAGGCAATCAATGTATTTATATTTCATGCACGTGTGATGTTCCAATAAACGACAGTCAGGATCACAGTGGATGTGTCAGTCCGCTAACGTACAATGCTTGGATGTATAGTGACAACATAATTTTCCATTCAGGGTTATCTGGAGAGTACTGACGTTTGTTCAAGCAACAATAAATGTGAAGTAGTACTCGATAGAAGCTTAAAGTTCCATAAAAGAGAGGAATTTCTTGATTAAGTGACTACTGGCTTCTGTTCCATGGATCATGTGAGTGAGTCAGTTATGCAAGCATTCTGTAACGCTTTCAAAAATGAAAATCCTAGAGCGATGGTACTGAATTATCAACCCCAAAGGGGGAGTTAGTCAAGTGTTTTAACCCCCCCCCCCCCATTCGGGGTACTACACAAAAGCAATTAATGTTGTTTTTCCATTCAATGTCATACAATAACACCAACACTACAAATCTGTAAAAGAAAATTCCCTTTCCTGAAACTGTGTATAATGGAAATAAACTTCAGAAGTTCCTGGTCTCAAACCCATGAACACTTCGAAAAAATTTAAAAACAACTGTTGAATCTACACAAAATTTAAATAAATCAGTCCAATAATACTAATTTTGTCATAAATAGTCAACATCTTGCTGTAAGGAACTTCACGATGTACCCGTACAAATATGAAAAGTTAATGCCATATTAATTTCTGAAGCATAACTTTAATATCACCATGCAAATTCAACCTTTAAAAAAACATTTTTCATGTAGATCACACCCAAATTAATTTATAAAACACGCTTACCAGCACTTCGTAGTCAGGCACAGAGTGGGTGCCGAGGCCAACCCGTTCAAATGTTATCCTGTACGTGTTGTTGGAAGTATCAACAGCATCAATGCTGCCATTAAACAGACCATCCTGTGGTTTCCTGAGACGAGCGGTCACCTTCGTGCCAATTACGAGTTGAAGGGGTATCTCTCCGGGAAGGTCCTTGCAGTTAGTCACATCAGCCGTCTTGCGCTGCTGCAGCAGGCGGATCTTTGCTCGTTTCCGTTCCAGCTCACGCCGCTCCTCCTCAAAGAATGCCTGCATCACATGAGTCACGACTTCCGTTAAACACGGCATAAAGCGTGACCGTAAGTACTGGACTTTAAGATTGTGATAAGGTTTTATAATTGGTTTGTATTCAAACAAACATGATCTCTCACTAAGAGGGGAGAACATAAATGGAAAACAATACATGAATAAAGATGGTTGTCTTCTGGGTTGCAGTGCTATGTACTATGGTAGAAGTTGACCAGTGTTTCAGAGGTCCTTGCTGCCTCCATCATCAAGGTGATGACCTACCCTGGCAATTTTGGCACTCGCTATGAGAACCTCAAATCCTACTTACACAAAAGAACAAAACAATGCTAAGTGTACCAGCTATATGATAACTCTTGATACAAAGTGACCTCACCTTACTGGGAGTGCGTCTGGTGAGACATTGGGAGTTGAGTGGAGAGTGTGATCCCTGACGCCCTCACAAGGGCTGATCTTCGACCCCTCTCTCTTTCTTTCCTCTCCGTCTCTCACACACACGCCCACCTATTAGTCCCCACCCACACCTGCTCCCATTGACTACGGGCAGGCTACTCCGTTCACTGTCCAGTTCCTATAAACCTAGCAATTGGCACATTCATAGCCCTGACGACGGAGGCAGTATGACCTCTGAAACGTTGGTAAACATCTACCATACTACACAGCGCAACAACCCAGAAGACAGAAATCTTCATACTCACCACTGTGAAAACCTCAAATCATACATTCCAATATATTGTTTTAAATTGTGTATAATTTTTTTCCTGCAAATATAAGACCATCCTCAGTTTCGTATTAAAAACAAAAGGGCAATGCAGTCATGTGCCTACAGCATTGTGTGAGAACAGAAAATAAAATAGATACAACTGAAGCCACATAAGGCACAAGCTACTGAATACTGAATTGTGTCCAAAAACAGCGTTAAGATCAGAGGTTATATTTCGCTGTAAGACAATACATTTTACAAATCATGTATGTGACTATGGAGTCTGTAAAGTCTGACACATATTTTCACTGATTTATTTTATTATCAGATGCATTTTCATGACGGCTGAAATGCGGGAAAAGAAGCAACTGTACCTGGGAGCACCGCCGTGGCTTGCCCATCATGCGTCTGATCTTGCACCACTCCACACGAGTTAACTTCCGAGTTCGCAGGTGTGGGAAAGACTCCTTCAGGCAGATCATGAAGTCATTGTCCCCATCGAAGAGAGGTCTGCAACATTACATAGTACTCACTCTTCATAGCATCAAGCCAAATATTTTCCGAACTGCACCTGTTTGGAGGACACACATTCACGCATGGCGCAGCACAAAAAAATATTTCTACTTTATATTCAACCAAAAAATACCACTCCATTTCTTTCTGCTCTCATCATTACTTTGTATTCCTAAATAACTTGCCCTCTCACAGTTGGTTTTAGCAGCAAATTAACCTCAGAACTGCCGAGGTAACGAAGTGTGGTGGGTGGTATACACTGCAGATTGTAAATGCGAGGATACTGTAAATAGCTGTGCACTTTCTCAGACAAAGATGGGAGTACCACTACTTACCCAGTCATTAACCAGATGGTTATACCTGAGGGAGACAGTATGAACAGAATAGAGGTGTGTTCTTTGCAAACAAACATTGCTGGGAATTACCTCTTCCACGATGTCAAGTTCAAGGATAAGAGTGTGGAATTCATTGACATTCCACCGAAGGATGTCCAAGGTGTGTGAAATAAGTGATGTGTCTACCAAAACACTTCAAACTAACAAGGATTCACTGTCCCATCAATTCAAATTATGGTAGGATCAATGAAAACTGATATTTAACATGTTCCACTACCTTCTTTCTCACTGTCCCTTGTAGAACCAAATTCCCAAAAGTTCATTTAGCTCGTAGCACATGAGTGATGTACTGAAAAATGAGGGATGTGAAGTGGGAAGCCCCACAAAATACCTCTGTTTCCCGAAAGCTCCGTCCATGACTGGAATTACCACACTCACTTGTCAATGTTGCTGTAGAACCATTCATAGCAAACCCACTTGTGGGCTTTGGGAAGCTTCAGCAGGTTGCGGAGTCGCATGCCAATCCTCTGCCCCACGCGTCGGTCAGGGGATGCAGGAACACCCGAGCTACTGGCATTTCCTTCATGAACATCAGAGTGTTGCAACTCGTTCTGAGGTACTGGCACCGGATGTTTCTTCATATGCTGTACTGCTGCTTTACTAGCAGCTGATGCAGCCATGGAAGCGGCCTTCTTCGTAGGAGAGGCCTTTGGGCCACGCTTTGGAGACGAGCGTGGCAACATCGTATTGATAACATCGTCATCAAAGAAGAGGCGGTTTTTTTTACGGATACGAGCGGGCTGGAAACAACAAGGTTGGTACCCACTGCAAGATCACATGGAGTCACAACAAAAACCACTCTTGACATCTCCATAGCCAAGAGCACCTTAAATAACTCACCACACAGCACATAAACCTCTTGAGAGCTGCTTCCGGTGACATCTGACAGTTCACACTAAACCTGGAAGCTGACCTACGTCCTCCAGTGATACACCACCAATAAAAGATGATACATCACTAATTTTCATGACAGTTCACACATCATAACTTAAATGATGTGCAACCAGCAACGCATAAATGCCATCCTGTAAACATGTGTTTAGTTCTACCTGATAATGAACCGGAAGCTGTAGGTCCTGAAGCTGTGTTATAAGAATCGTCAATTTTATCATGCACGATATCTAGACTTAGAAAAGCACTAACTTAAACAACTAAGTTCATGCATATAACTTACAGGTGAGAGGAAAATGTAAAAATATATCTTATGATTCATGGAATGGATTCATCTGGGACGTGATAGACACAGTAATGAACTTTTAACTTGTATAAAAAAATTGGTATTTTCTTGACCAGCGAAGTAACTATTAGCTTCTCAGGATTCTACTCCATGGTGTTAGTTTTCAACAACTATACAGTACAATGGCAAAGCACATAAGCCTCTTTGGTGTGCATAAATACAACGTCTACTACTAAACTTCTCACAAAATTAATTTTTTCTTTACGCTCACTAAATCCAACAAAAATAAAACACGTATCAGTAAATTATACTGAACTGAATCTAACCTATAACCACATCTAGGTTCGTTACAGAAAATTAAAAATACGTTCAAATACAAGCAAAATTCACCAGTATAATATGTTGATAAGACAGTATATATACTCAAAACATAGTAAAAACAAAGACGGAACAAATAAGTGATGATTATATTAATAATACAAACCAGCAGATCACTTACAAATGAAAATTGATCCAACTTTTTAACGTAACCAATACCAAGAAAGTCACAAAGTCAATACAGGAATATAGAAACTAAGCCAAAGAGATTAAAATATATAATAAAATTCAGGTCAATACACAAACTTTATTTACAGATGTTAAAATTTAAAATTTAAAATTTGCGCCATTCATCGCTACAACGATGTTACAATAGAGCGCCTTCATACACTACATGTTTCGATAAAAAGCATCATCTTCAGGTGTTATCCTTTAAAACTACTTTATATTATAATGCATGTCTTTCAATTTATTCGTCCGTTTTGTTCATTCTTATAGCATGTTTTAAAGGATAACACCTGAAGATGATGCTTTGCATCGAAACATGTAGTGTATGAAGGCGCTCTATTGTAACATCGTTGTAGCGATGAATGGCGCAAATTTTAAATTTTAACATCTGTAAATAAAGTTTGTGTATTGACCTGAATTTTATTATATATTTTAATTATAAAACACAAACATGACGCATTTAAACCTTAAGCCAAAGAGATGCAGGCATAAAAGTTCTACTACAATACCATACAGCAGAAATAAAAACACGACATGCAAGCACATACCAAGCCTAAATAAATTCTGAAGTATTAAAGTCGTCAATATTGCACAGAAAGTACTCCTGAGAAAGCCGGAATCTCCACTCTTAGCGTGTTATAAAAGAGAAAACTTTGCTTCATAAAATCACTGCCATATCAGAAACTGTTTCACGATATTCTTTCAAGTCATGAATTAATCCAACATAAAGAGGGTGACCACAAAATTCAACAACAACACGTTATTTCTACCACTGATGTGCCCTGTGGCAATCAGCCGTGGATCCGTTCTTATGATAAAATTATTCTCACCATTCCTCGCCTGTTCAGCACGAGACCAGGCTGCTGGGGTGGAGGTCTTGGGGGCATCTCCTCCCCAATTCGCTTCAAGCCCAGAGCAGCTGGCCCTAGAATTGGAGTCTCCTCCTGGTCTAAGTCCATTGAATTGTCTAGATTCTCCTGCTTGATGCTGTCATATTTCACTCCGCCATTCTTGAACGTCAGTAATGCTGCCGCTGATTCATCTGTCAATGTTATTTTAAAAACAGCAAGATTCAACACTGAAATTCTTCACCTGTGTTGATATATAAAAGAATACATTCATTGTCTACTTTATTTTATGCACCAGGTCAAGTCTAAAGGCTATAGACATGACTGACCAAATCTTGGTTTATTTAGTAATTTCTTAAGGATGTGTTGTGCAATTTATTTAAGGTCCCATCTTCTCAATCTCAGGTCAAGAAACATGTCATATGAAGATTTCTGTCTTCTCAGTTGTTGCGCTGTGTAGTCTGGTCGATGTTAACCAACGTTTCAGAGGTCATACTGCCTCCGTCGTCAGAGCAATGGCAGCAGTTGTATGACCTCTGAAACGTTGGTGGAAATCTACCAGACTACACAGCGCAACAACCTAGTAGACAGCCATCTTTAAACAATTTGGATTCAGAAAACGTCTCTCAACTGACAAAGCTCTTTTCAATTTTACAGATCAAATCTAAGTGCTCTTAATAATAAAATGCATATTGGTAGAGTATCTTGTAATTTTGTCGTGTAAATCATGAATAAAACTGTCAAAACTACATTCATATCAAATTTTAAAAAAAGCTGGCCAGTGGTTTAAATCATACCCTAATAATAGAAGGCAACAAGTAGTAATAAAATCACAAGATTCAAATTGTGGCATTATACTGGGATACTGGGAACGACCCGTTCTTCAAGTGCCTGAGCACTGCGGTTCCCAAATTTTCGTTGCTTTGATCTATAGACATTTTGGTAGGAGGGATCAGCCCGTCGCAAGGCCTCTACCCGTGCACAGGACAGCACAACACAGAAAGGCGGGGACAAACATCCATGGCTTGAGTGGGATTCAAACTCACGGTCCCAGTGACCAAGCGACACAAGGCCCACGCCTCAGACCGCGCAGCCACTGCGGACCCCTGTGGCATTATAAAACATGTAATTCTTCCGTGTTTGGTACTTGGTCCTCAGCTTTTTCTCATATATAACAATCATCTTCCCCTGACCATTAACGCTCAGTCCAAACTAGTACTTCTTGATGATGACACTAATAAAATTACTGCACATCCAGAAATGGACTGCTTCCAAATTTGCATAAATGATGTCAAGTCTTTGCTGGCTTGAACAATAAACTTACACAAAATGTTGACAAAACAGATTTAATGAAATTCTGTACTATCAACAAGCATTATGCTAATCTGAGTATATGGTATGAGGATAAAACAATTCAAGAAGTGAAACTGGGAAGCACATATTGAATAAATTATTCCTAAACTAAGTTGAGCATGCTTTGCTATGAGGGTGGTCACATCACTCATGAAATGAGAAACTTCAAAATTAGTCTATTTTGCTCACTTCCATTTGATCTTGTCATGTGGAATTATTTTCTGGGTAACATAAGACAGCAAAAAAGTATTTTGTATCCAAAATAAAATCATTAGAATAATTGCAGGCACCACAAGGAAAACCTCACACAGGGAATTATTTGAGAAATTTAATATTCTTCCACTAGCCAGCAAACTCTATTCTATTTAAACACATTCTAACTACCCTATCTAGTTTCACTGATACACCAAATTTGATTAGAATGTTGTGTAAATGGCTCATGAATAGAAAACAATTTATTTACATTCCATACAACCTTTGTAGGCCCAAGCCAAGGATGTAGAACATGTCATTTCTAATACAAATATAAAATTACATTGGTGTGACAGTGATTTACAGTTTACCACAGTATCACTACAAAAATAATTATACAAAAAAGCATCACCGCCATTGCTTATATGTATTTATAACAGTTAAGAATTTTTGGCTGAGGTAAATTCTTCTATGGAGCAGGAGTGAGATACCCATTTTGTGCTGGCTTAAACTTCCTTACATTGGGATTCACACTTTTTATAGCTGTACTCTTTCTCCCCAGTATGTGACTAAAGCAGAATATCTTATCAGTAACTAATACATCAAAATCACAATGACAATCCTTTATAATTTCGTTTACGTATGGAGATATTCACTACAACCGATGTAACACTCGGATTCATTAAAAGCGCAGATTTTGACTAGCTGACTAATCTTCTCAAGAAGAACTGAGATCCATGGAGTTACTGTTATTAATAGCCACCCATGGACAAAGTTAGTGCACGAAGTCTGAATAATTAATACAATCCAGTTCAAAATCAACGAAGCAAAATAAATTTACACCCCCGTATCATAACAAAATAAAAACTGTGAATTTTTTAAGTTTATATTCTGTTCGATACGCGAAGGCTTACCTTCTTGGCAAACTTTCAAAATTAAAATATTATTAAGATACAAAATGTTCTGCAAATTCAATGGAATGCAATTCAACTCTTTTATAAAACCCTGGCCACATCAGCAAATTCTGCTGAGATACAGTACGAAAATAAAACATATAACTTCCACAAGGAAAAATACTAACTTTCAAGTTGATCCGCCATGTTGACGTAGTCTTTCAGCATCTGTAAGCAGGATAGCCAACGTTAATGTCCTCATCTACTTCCGCAATACAAAAGAAACATAAATTTATATGTTATACTATTTAATTTATAAATGTTTGTAGATTAATTTATAAATGTTTATAATGTCAATATTAGCATGCAGTTTTAATTCCACATATTTAAATTGTGGTGTAAATTGCGACTAATGTGTGAAAACCACTTCAAACTTGAACTTGCTTATTGAGGGCAGCATGTGGTATCACTGCGTGTTCGCTGCTCACAAAAAGAAAGCTTATTATGGATATGTGAGCGAAATATGCAAATAGGATAATTGTAGGTTATCTCTGTTACGCTCTAGGAACCTAATATTTGGCGAAGAATTTGTCAACGTTAACCTTCTGCGATTCAAATGACCCAACCGGAGGTGGTGGTGGTGGTTTCTGGAGTTATACAACGTTATACCAACTGCTGGGAAAGGTCATGCCTCGACAGGATTGAAATCCAGAATGATTTCTGTCATCTGAGTTGTTGCGCCGTGTAGTCTGGTAGAAGTTTACCAATGTTCCAGAGGTCCTTGCTGCCTCAGTTACCAGGGGGATGAGAACATCGCCTTTTTCTTTGTTCTTTTATTGTCGCTTGTGTATGTTTGTTTGTTTATCATAATATATTTAATTGAAGATTTTGTGTTCTATGTGCCTTTTGTTTATTGGTTGATCCACGCCTATGCACTAAGTTGATTGTTACGCAACAATGTGGCATCAAAATTACTTCTCGCCACTTTGGTTCCGTGATTATTCCAGCAGGATCTGTCGTGTAAGCTTAACCTACATTGTTGCGCACTCCAAATATGGGTTGCATGCTTCTATTAATAACAGCTTTCTTCTGTGGCAAATGTGTATTTGCTGAGACAGAAGGAAATTGTCTTGAAAGATATCCCTTGGTTGGATTGAAGAAATTCGAGAAGTACAAGTTAGTGGACGCGAAGCCTCTCCAAACGGTAAAGCTGGACTGCCATTTCTGGTAAGTGTAGGTTATGTGAACTGTCTTTCTCCTGAAGTATAATTCGTAATATTGACACCCACACTGGTTCATGCGCGATAGTTTTATCCTACATGTGTAATGTTTTGTTTTCATATGCCTACATTCGTACAGGGCAAGTACCCCATTTTCATTTCTATACGGCCCGTCACATGATTTGAAAACTAGTCATTTTAAGAAGGGAAACAAATTTTGTGCTACTGAGGAACACTGATATAAATACACACATGCAGTGTGTATGAGTAAGGGCAAGGAATGACAGAAAAATATTAAAGAAACGTAAATGCAGACATTAGCCTATGACGTTCAAATCGCGTTACTGCAAAAGGTGCATTGTTTTGTTATTCATACCACACGAAATGTAAGAAAACTATGAAAAGTGATGTGATGTTAATAACTGACGTTTATAAAATTAACAGCGATATGAAATTAAAACTGTTTGAAAGCTAACAAACAACGTATTTGCAATGAACTCAGCTGTATGGAGAAATACAACTATTACCAGTCTTCAACTTACTACCAGCTGTACTCATTTTAAATTAAAAAAACAAAGTTTCGTTCACTGTCCACGACATTTCTTTCTGCGGCCCTAGACAGAGATGTGAATAGCTAATGCGGCCAGCGGTAATGAGAAGGTTTGCAACTCCTCGGATAGAAGGACCAAGGACGTTGTAATCGAGTTATTTAATTTTAAACAGTTATAAATAATTTAAAGTCATTATTTTAAAAATATTTTGGCCCTAAGCAACATAAATGTACACCTAACAATGCTGTGAACCAACAACAAAATATACAGACTTTAAATAATATTTAATAATAAGCACATAACCTTACAAAGTTCAAGTGGTCAACGCAGTTTACAGTGAGGAACACGAAACATAAAAATACAAATGCAGACTTCTCGATAAACCAGGTGGGACATAATACAAATTCAGTATACACAGTCGCAAAACACGCTGTATTTACAAATATTTTGCAATCAGCTGCAGCAGTGGTAGAACTGGATCCACCGATCATGGCCGCTGTCCTTGAAGGGAGTGCCCAGTATGCGGACCACTCGATGAAGTCAGTACAGTCTGTGTGGAAGCCTGGCATCGTTGTCTTGTGACTGCTGTGTTAACAACATGACACCTGTTCGTTGAAATCTCCTTTCTGGTCAATGATAACGCCTCGTATCAAAACACTCGGACAGACAAACCACCGACGTCTTAATCAAAGAAGGACGAAGTGAAAGCTTGGCTATTGGAAGTAAAATCCCGTTTTGTGACGTGTTCAAAGCTCGACTGTGCGATTTAATCAAATTAAATAAGTCAAAGCACGAATATTTCGTGACTGATCACATTTTAGCAGACGAAAAACGTCCTGTGCTGAGACTTCCCGATTTAAACCCCATTGAACTTATTTGGGCAGATGCAAAACAATGGGTTGCAAGCAAGAACACGACGTTTAAAATTAAGGACGTCGAGCGTCTGCGTCGCCAGAGATTCGAAGAAATTGGGCAAGAGGAATGAGAAATGTATGTCGTCACGTGGAGACACTAGAACAAATTTATTTTGAGCAAGAAGGCATGATCGAAGACGCTATTGAGGATAATGGAGTTATGTGTCAGAACGTCTGTGAGGAGTGGAAGAATTGGAAGAGGACCGAAGATTTGTGAAGAAGATGAAATTATCTAACACTCTCTGCAGTTTTAATTTTCTAGCGAAATCGGCTTTCCTATGTTACGTAACGTGGTGATATTTTATTTGGAGTGTACTGTACGCGGCCTGCTACCGTCCCTTTCAACAAACTTCTGGTAAGCGACTCGCTCCGAGGTTCCAATTCACAAAGTTGAGCGGCCAAAAACGCTGGAACGCGGTATAGGTATTTGGCACCTGCGCAGTTAATCCATTGCTGTCGGTCTTTGGGAGGCCTTGATAATTTTCGCTCTATGACAACTCTGATTTACTTGTTTGGTGTTGCGTTCCGATAGTTTAGTGACGCCGTTCATAGGGCGTGATCTGATATGTGGCTGTGTTCAAATTATTAAAAGTAAAGACAAGAAATTTAATCATTCATGTGGTAAAACAACAATATCTTTAACCATTTTCATATTACCTTCCCAGCAATAACGGTCCTTCACATATGTACTTTTCTAGAGCCTCTGTTGTTTCTTAAAATTAGATCCAAATCAGTACCCGTTCTTAAAGACCCTCAACCTTTGTTCTTTCCCCGATGTAAATGATTGACTTTCATGCCCATACAAAATAGATATTTGTGTCACAAGCTCATTCATTTTGTATTTGAACATTCCCTTATCTTGTTTCTAAAAATTACACTAGCTTTTCTAGTTTCACGTCTTAACACTCTCCATATTAGCGCCATCTGTTGGTTTAGATTCTGCAATCAAATCACGTCTATTTAACCCAGAAGACCAGAATCAATATTGTAAAACATGTACAGGTAGCCGTCGATTTGCTCCAATTTTTAAAACCATAAAGTCAAAAAGTGAAAAAAATATATTTTACTATTATTTATAACGTTTTACAATGTTTCTCGTACTGATTCTTATACTAAATCGTAATTCTTACATCGCTGATTTTGAATAAAAATTATAAATACAGTCACCTCTGCACTCACTGCTAAGAAGTTGCGAGATAATCTCCTAAAAATCCGCCAACATCGCGCAATAGTCACGTGAGCACTGGTCACTCTTCACGGTGAGTCATTTGCGTTCAGCCTGATAAAGGAGTAAGGAAAAATGCGCTCAGTTCGCTTCTTGTTGACACATTGAATGTGCTGTTTGTGTTGTTCGACCACTATTCTGCAGTAGCAACTGTTTGTTTTTAAATTTCCTTTATTTTATTTACGTTATTTCAGTGCTTTAAATGTAGGTCCATTATTTTACTCGTCAGTGTTTGGGTGCTGGGAACGCATGTCATTGACTTCCATTATAAAAGAGTTTCAATTTACGCCGATTCCATTTACGCCGGTTCGTCCAGGAACGCACCCCCGTCATAAATTGAGGGCTATCTGTATTTATGTTCTGATTTCTGGCTTTGTTTTGGCAAAAGTATATTTTAAAAAAACATTTTTCTTCTGCATTTTGGGACACTGGAAACACTGAATTAGAAACATGTTCATTTATGTATTATATTCATACACACACATGACAGTGTGAACATACTTTAGCTAGAATAATATTTCAGCTAATATTTTTGATGGGAATTGTCCAAAGTGGTATAACAGAAGAGTTGCCACTGGTATTACTGAAGAAATATTAATTATAATGTATTATCTTCAGAACCCTTTAGATTCATCTGTACCCAGGCCTCTTAAGTAGTCTTTATTTAGGTTATGGACCTAAATTAAGTATGACTTCCTCATTTCTTGCATATCATCTCACTCATTATTTCTTTCTTCATTTAATTATCTCCAATATTTTGTTAATGTTCATTATTTGTTGTTTTATTTTACCCGCTGTTTGTTCCTGTCTCATGGACCAAAATATTATCTTCTTCACTTTATTCTCGAATATTCCTTGACGTATGTTATTTTCTCACAGCGACAAACCATGGTAACAACCACATAAAAGAGGTGAAATTATAAAATTTTGCTTAATATTCTTACGACATACATTTGTAATTTAAAGGGCATATATCAATAGAATAATTTGTAAAAATCTATATATTTCATGAGTCAACTGGTTTATTTTGTCCTACAGTAAGGAAAGCGATGATAGGCTGCCAAAAGTGTGGTACCGGCAGGACATGCTGCTCACGAAGGCTCCTGCGGAGGTACAGCTTGACACGGCGAAACATCCTCGAGTGCGTGTCACGCCAGACCACAGTCTAATAATGCGCAAGGTGACCGACGCTGATGCTGGGGTATACCAATGCCTTGACTTCAGATTCCTGTTAGAAGGTAAGCCACCGGAGGTTACGCAACTCACGCGTAAGTTACTTGTTCACTACCACTGATAATACACACGTGGTGGTTGTTAAAACTTCCGATGTTGGATTGTGTCATTTAATGAAGCACCCTAAGCTATGCATGGTAATAAATCTTTAAATAATAGTTAAATTCCTATACAGAGACATTGATATTGGCAGTACCTAGAACGCAACAAAGAAACTCTATCTGCCAACCCAACAACAGTATATTACTTTTTGGTCAGGATAGTTTAAGGTGATACGCTATAGTCCAACTGGTTTCCTTTGGCACAAATATCTCACTTGCTGCGTGTCACCGCATACTAGAATTTTACTAAATACGTACATTTTTTTGCCGAGATGGCAACTCACAAAATGTAATTTAACTTTCTGTTTTATAATAATTACCACTGAATCACTTTGAAAAGTTTCCTTTTTTAGCGTTTCTTAATTTGTTGTTGTGACAATAGTTTCTGAGATTTTATAAATTTAATTTCTACTTTGCAATTATTCAAAAATGTGTGCATCTGACCTTGACACCATTTTGGACAGGTCCCCACAGGGACCTTATTTAGTCATAAGCTACAAAATTATGGGATTACAGTTTCAGCTCAGTTTTTTATCACTAAAGTTTTAAACAAAACGCACAGCAAAACTGTCTGTTTTGGTACAAACTGTCACAGTTGTTAACTTTTTATTATGAATTACTCTGCATGACAAGAACTACAAGAATGACAGTGGTCGAAAACAATAAGTTTTTCTCTGACAAGTAATGCTCAAACTTATTTATGATAGTTAAGATTCTTTACTGTATGTCATTTTTAACCTATAAATTCCTGTTGGCTTCTGTATACGGATT